TCCCTTGCCTTGGAAGCCCCTTGCTGGGGTGGCCTTAAGTCGGAAACTCAGCAGGGTCTGTACTTGGAAGGGAGACCACCAAGGAAGGCTCTGCAGAGGAAGGCAAGGGCAAACCACCTCTGCCTCTCCCTTGCCTTGAAAGCCCCTTGCTGGGGTGGCCACAAGTTAGTTGCAACTTGACAGAACCTACACATATAAGGGCCTTTCGAGCCAATTCCAGTGGCCAAGATCCAGGACTGGACCCAGAAGCACCCACGCCCAAGTTCTGCAGGAAGGGGAGGACCATGCTACTGACATTCTCACGTGCTCCCATGCCAAGCAACGGACGGGGCTTTTTCCAAAGCAGACGCAACCAAAGCCAAGCTGTGCCAGGTGCAAAATCCGCACACTCAGCCTCACCATGAGCAGAACGGGCTCCTACCTGGTCGTCCGACACCTGTTCCAGCCAGAGGTGGGTCCGATTGAAGATCTGCATGCGGGTGTATCCGTAGTCCTCAATCCGCACCGCACTCCATTCTCGTGGCTCGGGGACAAAGGGGTCCAGCCGTTCTTGACAACCCTGCGTGGGGGGAGGGATTCAGAGGCAGTTTGGTGTGTAGTGGGGTTAGGAGCGCGGACTCTAATCTGGGAGAAGCGGGTGTGATTCCTCCGCTCCTCCACATGCAGCTGCTGGTGTGACCTTGGGTCAGTCACAAGTTCTCTCAGAGCTGTTCTCTCAAGGGCAGTCCGCGGGAGAGCTCTCTCAGCGCCACCTACCTCCCAGGGTGTCTGTTGTGGGGAGGGGAAGGGAAAGGAGTTTGTAAGCCTGAGACTCCTTCCGGTAGTGAAGGGCGGGGTATAAATCCAATCTCTTCTTCTTCATCTCTTTTCCCCCTGAGAGTTTCCTGAAGTAGCGTCCCACTGGTAGCCCACAGATACGAACAGCCACCCCTCCCACACCCCAACTTCCCGTTCTTTCCGCTTGGGCAACAAAGGCAGGCCCCCTCCCCCCTGCTCGTCTCCCGTGTGTGGATGCTGGCTACGACAAAGAAAAGGAACTCTGTGGACTCTCAGAGGCACTCTCACACTACTTGACGTGCCAAAGAAAGGGCACCTTTACGCCCAAAGAATCCCACCCACCCTTGAAAATAGTTTTATTTAACACGGCATTTGACTTGGTTGAGCTTTTTATGTATTGGCAAGAGGAGTTTTAACATTATGACTTCTTATGGGTGAGGCACATGGGGGAGAAAGGCCAGGTATAAAGTAGGTAAGTAAATAAATACTGAACTTGAATCCAGCTGTTTTCCTGAGAGCCAGTTTGGTGTAGTGGTTAGGGGCGCGGACTCTAATCTGGGAGAACCGGGTTTGATTCCCCACTCCTCCACATGCAGCTGCCGGTGTGACCTTGGGTCAGTCACAGGTTATTTTTAGAGCTGTTCTCTCAAGGGCAAGCTCTCTCAGCCCCACCTACCTCACAGGGTGTCCACTGTGGGGAAAGGAAGGGAGACTGTAAGCTACTCTGAGACTCCTTGGGGTAGCGAAGGGAGGGGTATAAAGCCAATCTCTTCTTCTTCTTTGATGTATTATTTGAGAGCCTGTTTGCTGCAGTGGTTAAGTGCGGGGACTCTAATCTGGGAGAACTGGGTTTGATTCCCCACTCTTCCACATGCAGCTGCCGGTGTGACCTTGGGTCAGTCTCAAGTTCTCTCAGAGCTGTTTCTCTCAAGGGCAGTTCTTGAAAGAGCTCTCTCAGCCCCGCCTGCCTCACAGGGTGTCTGTTGTGGGGAGGGGAAGGGAAAGGAGATTGTAAACCGCTGGGGCATAAATCCAATCTCCTCCTCCTCCATCTTTTCAGAGCTCTCTCAGCCCCACCCACCTCACAGGGTGTCTGCTGTGGGGAGGGGAAGGGAAAGGGGATTGTGAGCTGCTCTGAGACTCCTTTGGGAAGTGAAGGGCGGGGTATAAAACCAACTATTATTATTATTTATATTTTAAACCACCTCAAGTTCCACAAGGCAAAAAGGGGGTTAATACATGCTTAAATAAGTAAATTAATAAAACAAACAAGATCTCTCACTTACAGCTGACCCGGTGATAATATGCACAGGGGCACCAGGATTTGTATACGGGGCCTCGATGCTGCCGTTATACACCTGGACGGAGACGGAAAGAGAAGATCGCTTGAGAGGGGATGAGGAACGGCAGAGACTCCGCAGTGCTGACAGGCCACGGAGTCCACCTTCCACCCCCGTGGCCATTTCCTCCAGAGGAACTGACCTCTGTGATCTGGAGAGTTGTAATCCCAGGAGATCTCCAGCCGGCACCTGGAGGCTGGCAAACCCAAAGTGGACAGGGAGACACGCAGGGGCAAAAGGGCTTGGGAGGGTGAGGCAACACAGGACCCCCCTCCCCCAGCTCACGGCCCATCGCCCTGGGGGATCAGAGCCGCTTGCTCACTCTTATCAGCTCCCAGGGCTTGGAAAGGGCAATTCCGCCCCACCCCTCCTTCCCTCCCTCAGTCCCTGCAGATTCCACACATTCCAAGACCCCTTTGAAAGGGGGCTGCACTGCCGGAGGGAGACCCCCCCCCAAAGCCTCTGACTGCAGAAACCACCCCACCCCACCCCCCATCAGGGAGATTTCGGGACAGCCTCCTTTGGAACCTCCGGGGGCTCCTCCCGGTCCGGAATCACCTTGTAGTCGTAGACGGGCCAGAGTCTCTCGTAGGAGTGTTCGTGGGCCCACAACTCCAGGTCGACCCCTAGCAGGGAGAGAAGAGACGAGAGAACGAGAGAACGCTCAGTTAAATCCCCCCCCCCATACTGGAAGGCCGAAACGCAGGCACAG